CTCACGTCTCTCCATACCACGCACACCTCCGTTCTCAGTACTCACACTGCACCCCCCCGAGCCCCACACTTGGAAGCCACTGATCTCTTCCCCATCATTATAATTTGGTTTCTCTGAGAATTTTTTTATAAATTAACATTATAATAAATAGTATAATATTGTACACTTTAAAAGTTGCCAAGTGTGATATCCTTGAGATTCTTTCAAGTGCTGTGTACATTAATAGTCCATCCTTTGTAAAAGTGAGTAGCATTTCATTCTGTGGTTATAACATCTTTTATGTGTTCATCCGTTGAAGAACGTTTTGGCTGGGTTCTTGGTTTGGGGTTTTACAAACAAGGCTGCTATGAACATTTGCATAATTTTTTATGTGTAAAAATAACCTTTTATTTCTTCAAGATGAAGATTATGGGAAGTAAATGGCTGGGTTGTGTTAGGGAATGTTTAGTCTTTAGGAAATCTCTAAACTACTTTCCAAAATGAATGTTTTTCGCACAAGTGATATATGAGAGATATAGCTTATTGCCAATGTTTGGCAACGTTCTATTTCGCATTTTATTTGTCATTTTTATTTTGTATTTATACAGTTATGAGCCAGTAATCTCACTGGGGTCTTAATTTATATTTTCCCAAGAGGCAAGCAGTCCAACTTCATTTGCTTATTCTGGGATTTATATCTACATTTTTTGGTGTGTTTTTGTGACTTTTTACCATTGGTAATTAGTTTTTTATTTTTGTTTTTGTTTGTTTGTTTGCTTGCTTCTGAGTCAAAATCTCACACTATAGCTCATGCTGACTTTTTTTTTTCTTTTTCTTATTTTTAATTGATTACAATTAATTCACTTTGTATCCCAGCTATAGCTTCCTCCCTTGTCTACTCCCAATCCTACCCTCCCTCCCTTTTCTCCTCCCATGCCCCTTCCCCAGTCTACTAATAGAGTCTATCCGGTCTCATCAGGACTGGCTGCATTGTCTTCCTCTGTGGCCTGGTTAGGCTGCCCCCAACTCAGGGGGAGGTGATCAAAGAGCCAGCCGCTGCGTTCATGTCAGAGACAGCTTTTGTTCCTCTTCCTAGGAAGCCCATTTGAAGATTGAGCTGCCATGGGCTACTAGAAAAGATCATCCTGAGTGAGGTATCCCAGAAGCAGAAAGACACAAATGATATACACTCACTTATAAGTGGATATTAGACATATAATATAGGATAATCATACTAAAATCTGTACACCTAAAGAAGCTAAGCAAGAAGGAGCACCCAGGGTAAGATGCTCAATCCTTACTCAGAAAGGCAAATGGATCATAGAACAATGTAAAAGAAATGCCTATTAAAAAGCAAAAAGAAAAACAAATGGGATAGACATTAGAAGAGGGTGAAAACAAGGAACAAGACAGGAGCTTACCAAAGGCTGACTTCTAACTCACTATTGCTCTGACCCATATTATATAGTGTGGAGGTCACAGACACATTCTACCAAACTCATCTTAGCTTTTGTAAGCTTGTGGTTGTGAGTAATTTTGAGAAGTTTGAGGGTGATTGACAAAGATGGAAAAGAGTGTAGTAAAAAAAAGTCTTCTTAGTGACTGATACTAGAGCATTTGGACAACAAAAGGCAAAATAAAAGACCCAAATTTAACCCCCAAACTTCTCAAAATTACTCAATAATAATAATAGTAGCAAATAAAAAGAAAGAAAGAAAACAAGACTTTTATTTCTTAGCAGAAGGGCCATTTTACACTCTGCTATGCTACTCTGTTAATATGCCTGATCTTCTGCTAGCAACACAATGACTTGATTATTAGAGTCATGTAAGCCTGAAAATCACATAGTGTGAGATTGTTCCAACTACCTTCTTTTCTGAATTTGTTTCAGAAATGTTTCCTTTTCTTTTACCTGCAAATATTAGAATTATTAATAGGATTAATAAGCTCAAAGTGCACTCTCGAATTTTTGTTAAAAGATGTAGTAAACTCTTAAGATAATTATAAAATAAAGATAATTGAAGTGTTTATTTGGTTGAGTATTCTAACTCCTGATCACAATGTGTCTCTTTTTTAGTTCTTAGTTTACCTTATTCGATTTTTTTTAGCATGAAAAATTGGTAAACTTAAATCCAGGCACTTTGTTTAGTGTAATGCGATGTACTTATTGCATTCTGTGTATAATGTTAGTTTCCTGTTGCTGAATGTTTGCCCGTAGGAAAATGATTGACTCTTGCACGATCTCATATTCCTCACTCTTGCCATTTTCACCAGCTACATCTAAGAGTATTTCTGTAGTTCTTTATGTTTTCATGTGAATGAAATCAAGTCACCCACAAATAGGATTGGTTTCATTTCTCTTTACAACTGGTGTAGATTTTAGCCCCTTGACTTTTTTTATAGACTTTTAGTTAAACAAAGACCATGCCTGTTTACTGAACCTTGAAATAAACCATACATGTTCACCTAATAGGTCCAGAAAGGCAAAATTATTGTGTAACTGCTCCCAAGTGACTAATAACATAGGCAAGGATTATAAATATGTACAGAACTTAGTATTTATTCTATACTGTCTATATAATTGTTAAAATAGAAGCATAAGAAAGTATTCCGAGAGACAGCTATTTTGAAGAAATTGAAAAGGTATATATCTGAAGTGCACATCAGAAACTTGGATGTACGAAGCTAAACTGTGTGGTAAAGTTGACCGGAGCAGTAAAGTCGGCGCTGGAGGGGATTACTGAAAGAGATGGTGAAATAGAACCAGGAAAATGATTCTAGCAGATTCCTTAGGGGCTTATTACATAAGAGCGGTGTCCTTCGCAATTAACACTAAAGATATGTGCCATCCTTTAACTGCCACATAAACAAGAGCAGTTGTCTCTCTCCTAGCTCCACCTATTCAAAAAGAAGTTGCATCTCAGGCTTGCTGATAGCTTCTGCACACCTTGAGTAGGTCACAGCCTGAGCAATCTAATGAAAACGCATTTAAGCACGGAGCCTCTGGGCTCCCGCGAGGCTTCCGCACTTATCCTTCAGGAGCCGTGAGCAGTGTCCGTGAATATTTGAAGGGGATTCTCAACTTTGCTGCCAGTCCCCGGCGAAAGCGTGTTTACATCCGTTAGCACGCAGGACCACACCTTCACCAGCCATCTAGGGGACTGACCTCTCTCTACACAGTCTACATAATCATCAGGAGTCCTGCAGAAACTAGCCTCTTTTGGATTCAGGCCCTGTTGGGTCTGAGCGCTCTGAAACTTTTTCTCTCCTATTGGCATGATGAACCAGAATATCCCTTCACTTTCATCTTAGAAACCTTTCTTGGACTCACTTCTACGGAAGTCAGGATAGGGAAAACAACATCCAACACTAGGTAATATTTTTTTCTTAATTTAACTAGCTATAGAAAGAAATCTGATTAGGGCCTTCATGGGGTCAGTGTGGGTGACATTGAAGATTTCTCCCAACCTAGGAAGATTGAGCATGGGTGCTCTTGCCAGGATGAGGGCTCTAGACGGTGTCAAATGGGTCTTTGAAATGTATTCCTTTAACATTTCTACAGCTTTGTTGGTGCAGAGATCTCAATGCTGCAAAGCGGTGACATCACTCCCCATTCCTGCTGGCTGGTAGCAGGAAAGCAAGTTTCTGTGGCATCTGTTTAGATTTTTGCTTCACGATTAAAAAACATAAATCTGAAAATGAATTCCAAGAAGGAATTTGGCTGATTGCAAACTCTCTGCTGTCCTCAAAGAGTTCGTGTTAGCAAATTCACATAGTTCATGGTAAAGTACACACAGACGTGCTGATGGGGGGCCTGCATAAATAGAATCCCTGCCATAGTTCGGTTTTCTTTTCATATATTTTCATTTTCCTCATTACAGGGTGATGATAGGGTGGAGTGAATAGTAATTAAGAATCAAGGATTTCTATCTCAGTCATTTAATTTGGCAATGATGATTATGAATGACAGAATACCAAAAACAAAGCCAGCAAAACCTAAATTTTCATCCCACTAATTGACCCAGAACTGATAAGTCTCTGGTATGCCAGGAACTGAGATTTCTATATCTGGCCCAGGTTTTTGTATCTAATCAGAACTTCCGTATAAGATCCAAACCCTTCACCTCCACTTATCTGCACTAGAGTTGTCTCCGTCTGGCACATCCGTATGTGATCTCCTTCCTCCTTCGTCCCCACAAAGCTTTCAGAGGATGGCAACACTGTCCTTCGAGCTGACAGGCCACTCGCCCCTTCACAGCTGCTTAAACTAAGAACTGAGAGGCCTTGGGACTGAGCTACCCCTGTGCCTAGGGATCGAAGAAATCACAAACTCACCTCTATCTAAGGATTTATCACCTCAGCCCTATTGAATGCTGTCTTTTTTATTTCTCAAGTAATTTACAAAAGTTTCTTTTAATATCTACTTCACGATGATTGTAGAATGCCACTGTATACCTTATGAAATTTCTATTATTTCAAATAAGCTTGTTGCATTTTTCTTTTTAAATTTTGTTTCTAAATACATTTTAATTAAAATATGATTACTTTGTTACATTTTTTTGATATGTATGGTTTATCTCTTAGCACAACTCATGTCTTTTCAATTTTGCATAAAAATAGAGTTATGAGTTGATTTTACTAATTCTTTGAGAATTTTGTATTGCACTTTGGTTGATTTTGCCCACTCTAACTCCTCCCAGTTTCATATCACCTTCTTACCCACCTGTCCTAGTTTGGTTTCTATTGCTGTGTTAAAAAAACCATGACCAAAAGCAACCCAGAGAGGAAAAAGCTTATTTCATCTTACAGCTGTAGTTATCATGGAAGAAAATCAGGGCAGAAGTCAAGGCAAAAGCCTGGAGGCAGAAACTGAGGCAGAGGCCAGGTAGGAATTCTGCTTACTTGACTTGGTCTCTGTAGCTTGCTCAACTTATACACCCCAGGATAACCTGTCCAGAGTTGGCACTGCTCACAGAGAACAGAGTCCTTCTACGTCAATCATTAATCAAGAAAATGTCCCACAGAACTACCCACAGACCAATCTGGTGGCACAATTACTCAACTGAAATCCATTCTTCCCAGGTATGTCTACATTTGTGTCAAGCTGACAAGAACAGACCAACGCACCACCAAACTTTGTGTTCTTGTGTTTAAAATACTAATTGAGTCCAGTTTGTGCTGCCCGTGTACTCTTCAATTTGTGGACAGCTACTGGAGCATGGTTGATCGATCAGGGACCATACTCTTAAAGAAAACTATGCCCTCCCAGCAGCCATCACTGCCAATAGCTCCTCCGCTGGTAGTAAGACTTCATGCCCACTTCTCCTTTTTTGTCTGTGTTTTGTCTGTCCTTTTGTCTGTTTTGTCTGTCCTTTGTGTTTTGTCTGACTTGAGATTTCCCAAGTCCTGTGCATGCTGTCTTAACTGCTGTAAAGTTATAGGTACAACTGCCCTACAGTGTCTAGAAATCATTGTTTCCCGGTGATTGTCCACTGTCTCTGGCTCTTACATTCTTTCTGTTTTTCTGCAATGATTCCTGAGCCTTGGGAGGAAGGCTGTAGTACGTATGGTCCATTTGGGGCTGAACATTATGAAGTATTTTACTTTCTGCGCTGTGGTCAGTGGTGGATCTCTGTGTTAATCTGCCACAGCAGGAAGCCTTTCTAAGAAGGGTTGGGACATGCAGTAATCTATGGGTATAATAATAAGCCATTAGAAGTTTGTTTAATGTTGTGCACAATAATAGTGGTGAGTTCTACTCTAAGGCCTATGGCTTGTTTAAGTACACAATTTTGGTCCAAGTAACAGTGTCAGCGATGGGTTCCATCTTACGAATTGGGCCATAAATCCAACTAAAAATTTGTTGGTTACCTGTGCTATTGGTGCACCAGTGGTCCCATCGAGCCCAGCTGCTTATTATTGTAGCTTGCAAATTTCATAGATGGGCACATGCAAAGCACCTTCTAGCATCCAGTAGGTATGAAGCTTCCAGTACCTGATTGGTTTCTCCACATTGTATGACTCAAGTTTGAGGTGTCTTTGGTGATATATCTTACTGTCAAAAGCATTGATATTAACCTGTGATATTTGTGAGATAATGGGATTACATTGTCTAACCACACCCCAGAAGATACCTATTCCTGTCACTGGGCTTTTTGTTAGCCCAAGGGCACTGTTGGCTTCTTACAGGGTAACTCCATGTAAACTCTATCTGTATATGTATCAGGCCATTGCCACTTTTGACCTGTATTATTAGGAACTCCTGTCTAGTTGCCCTGTTGTTACTGTTGCTCTCTTATACTCTAACCTCAACCAGCCATTTAGAATGAAATCAATACAATCCTCTAAGTGAAGCCATTTTTTCCTCCACCCCCAATCCTTGGCCTCCTTTCTTTATTCAGATTAAAAGCCAAACACCTTCCAATAGCCTAGAAATCTTCACCTGCTTTGCCCATCACCGGCCTCACCCCTATTAATTCTCCCCCTTGCTTACAACCTATGTCAACCAAAACTTGCTTGTTTTCTAGAATATTAAAAACACATTGAGACTTGCAGTCTTATTCAGTGGCACTTTCCCCTCAGATGAAAAGAGATATGTGTAACCTAAGCAGCAGATGACTGAACCAATCTCTGTAATTCTGAAACTTCCAGTAACCAATTCCTTCTTGAACTGAAGTTTACACCAATGTCATCCCTACCCCTAGGGCTTATCCTTAATATTTCATGTAAAATCAGCAATCATTCCCAACACACCCAATAATCTCATTTATCTTGTTATATATCTTCATTTTGCATACAACTTCCTACCTTCAAATACAGCAAAGATTTATTCATTGTTTTCGTATTTATTCTCTGTCTACAAAAGAAGAAATTTTTAAAATGTATTTTACGCACTGGCTTTACCTATGTATCCAGAAAGTTGTTAAAGATGGTGCAGATATGATAAATATACTTTGTTACATGTCATTGTGACCAATAAGCCAGCTCTTCGAAGACAACTCAGCAACTTCAAACACATGAGGTGGTAATTATTGTCATTTTTAAAAATCATTAACACCACTTCAAATTAAATAACTGCATTTAATCACTGAAATAACCATGGCATACAATTCAAAGCTTATGAAAGTTCATCAAAACTAAATACTTGATTTCAATAGGTTATCCCTATAGCAAAGTAAGTCTGCCCCTATAGAAGAGCGTTTTGTGATTTCTGTTTTAATTTCAATTTCTTATCCTAAAAAAAAAATTCAGGTGCATTTTCTGCATGCATTGTTTAGATAACTGACATTATTAGATACATGGAATGTGCTGATACATTGCTGTTGCCTCTCTTACATACTTCCCAGGTACAGCTGAGCCCAGCAGCTTAAATAAACCTTGATTGATGACGTTGCCCGAGCCTCTCCTGACTAGAAAAAGAACTCAGTTTTAATAAAAATATTTTCAACTTTAATGGACAAAAGCTCTCAATTTTAATAAAACTTGCACTTGTGTCTTTTAAAATTATTCTTTTCCTTCATATCTTACATGAAGAAAGGTTAAAATTTGCTTTTCTGAAATGCACTTTGAGATTTGATTGAGTCCTATAAAATATTTATTCACTTATAGTTAGAAATGTTTTCAATCCATAGAAATCCTACCAACAGAAAAGAAAGCAGGATTTTTGTTTTTATGTGTTTTTAATTTCTACTTTTTATTCTGACATTATGCATGTAGTCAGTGTGTTATGATATATTCAACCCCTATCCCCACCTTCTATTTCCTTCCTACTCTTGTTGACCTTCTTTGTCTTCCCAACCAGTCTCTCCGCCTTTCATGGACCCCCCCCCCCCGCCCGGAACTGTGTGTGTGCCAATCTTTTACAGGTAGCCATGGCTACCATGTGCTGAAGATTGTTACAGCCATGCTATGTTCAGAAGACAGAGTTTCATAGCATCTCCCACACCATGAACCAACTCATAATGTCCTTCCTCCTCCTTTTCCGTGTTGTTCACTGGGCCTTGGAGAAGATGATAGAGGTATCCTGTTTAGGGCTAATGACTCAACTGCTAATTACTCATCCTTTTCACTTCAACCAGGTGTGAATCTCTGTATTAGTCCTTGCCCACTTCGAAGAGAAGCTTTTCTGACTGAAGCTGACAGCAGCACTAGCCCACAAATATAAATGGAAGTATGTAGAAGGCAAGGTTGGCTGCGTTTCTACTTGGTAAAGCATCAATAACAAGGAGTGGGTGTTTCCAACTCTTAAAAGGTAACTTTCTTTAAAATTAAATAAAAAAGTAAAAATCCCACCGGAAAATTAGCTTGGATCATGCAAACGTTAGCTTCTAAAATATACGTGTCTTTAAGTTATAGCCCTATTGCCATTGTTTTCCAGTCCCAAGGAGAATTTATCAATACTTAATTCAGATTACTTGGACTTTTCTAATCAATTTTCATTCTCAATTCATATGTAAGTTCTACCATAGCTATAAAAGTCAAACAGTAATGCAATAAACTTGATTTTCTTTATAACAAAGTTGGTTTCCATGTTAGACTCCATAATCACTAGTTAATAACTACTTAATGATAAGTGAAAAACAAATACATGCTAAATTTAATTAATGTTGTCTATGTTGTTGGCTGCTAAGAACACAGTATGTTTTGCTGTTATAACATTGTGCAGTGTGAATTAAGTAAAAGCAATTAATCATAATCTTCATTTTATTACATGTATTTTTAGTTCAGTAAGTTTTTTAAAACTAAGGAAAGCCACAAAATTTACAGTTTAACATCTGCTTGACTACAAGCTATTTTAAAACATAAGTATCATGTACTAGCTTTTTTTCATATACTCTAACAGGCACAGTTTTGAGTAGCCTGTGAGCTCAGATATATGCAATAATGATAACTCAACACCATTATGAAGCAAAATCACTTCACACTCTTCTTTGGCTAAGTTGTTAATGCTGGTCTTCTAGAAAGATTTTCACCAGACAATGTTAGTCTCTAAACTATTGAGATATTAAAACAGCATGTTCTTTAAGCTTTTGTCTTTATTCAAAAATGCTCCTCGGAAAATTACTAAGCGTAAATAATTAGATCAAAGGTCTTGAGTAAAGGGACTAATATTTTCCAAATCCCTGAAAAGTGCCAGTCATTATCCTGGCGTTATACACCCCTAGCATTATAAGAACTTCATGTTCTTATCAATGTCTATACAAACATCTCAAGGGAAGACCATATCTGACAGAAGAAAGTTTTATCAGAGGAAATTAATTATAGAGATAGGTGATTTTAGAAAAGATCTTCTGACTTCAAATTTTCACTTTTGACTCCTCTCTTTTATTTTTCAGTTCTAGGCAAAGTACAAGAAAAAGGCTTATGCAGTCTATTTAATCTTTGCTAAAGTAAAATTTTAAAAGTGCTCTTTTGACTCATTTCCTATCTTTCCTGAGGCACAATTGGAGTAGGCTCTTTTCTTCTGATGGAAAAATACACATTTTGTTTTTAAAAAGCACTATTGCATAGAGACTCTTCAGGTATCGAGTGGATCTATTGAAAGGAAAAGTCAGGTTGATGTGGATCGCTGACATGGTTATGTTGCCTTGTGTGGACCTTGCTCCAGATCTGTCCTTGGTATCACTATAGCAACATAAAGCCGACACTCTCAACTCTGAATGCATGCAACTGTGTTTATTTATCTTCATGGCTAACCACGATGAACAACCAGAATCATCCATAAATTTTAGCCTTGGAGGGTATGAGAGCTGAAGATAGAAAACAATAAATTTGGAAGCTTCATGTTAGAGATGAAGAAATGGACAGTCATAGCAGAAAAAAATTATTTGGTTACAGTTACTTTCTGAAGGTTAGGACAAAATCAGTGTATCATATTTCACCTCCAGGAAAACATGTGTATTACAGAAGAACTGCAAATGCCTAGAGCCACTTCTCAACCTCTCATTTTATGAGTATAATTGTTCATAATGATGCCATAGACATATTGGTATATTTTGTAAATAGACACTTTCTTTTGAGCAGTGCCAGGAAATGTGATGATCCAAATGTTCCCAAGGAAGCAGGTTGCTGCTTCCAGCTCCCTGGGACATTTGTCAATGCTTTCAGAATTGTGGGTAATCTAAAACGAGCTAAGTTATTCTTTCCTGATTGCATCCTATTGACTTGTAAGCTGCTTATATGAGCTGATCCCGATTCAAAATGACTTCCCTAAATATCCTACCTGTTGGCTTAGAACTTAAAAGTGGAAAGACAGTATCTAGAAGTTACTGGGTAATGAACCACTCTATTGGCGACTCTTCAGCATCAATAGCTTGTCCCCTGCTCAGCTGTCCAATGTAATTCTTCTGATTGGAGTTCTCATCATCCCTGCTGTTTAAATCTTCTCCTCTTTTGACCTCCCTTTAGCTTTAATGATTTGCTTCAAACATATGCATGAGATCATCTCTCAGTCAAAGGTTCTCTTCCACTAATGCTCTAATCTTGGATGTCATATGTCACAATCACCCTCAGTTTCTCTGAAGGACCAGAAGCACCTGAGAGTTGAAAGTGTCCCATTCATTCTTCTCCCTTTCCTTCAAAGCTTGTATTTTATCCCAGCTTTCCTGACAGCACTGGTAACCTAGGATGTGCTGTTTAGGGTGCTGTTCCAGGCATTTTTCAGAAACAAACACGGCCTCAGCACCTATTTTTGGTGAGATGCTTTCATTATGCTATGTTACTAATCCCTTTTGGCAATCTTGCAAAGTAACTGTTATTATCACTACTCTGCACAAACAGAGAAATCCAGGACCAAAGCAGCAGGGGCTTGCTAAGGCTAAACAATTGCTAAGAAACATAATTAGAATTCAAATTCAGAGCTGTCTCATTTAAAATTTGACCCCAACATACTCTTTTACTCTATCCAAAAAAATTCTTCCAGTACCTATAATTAAAAGTGATCAGGGCCACTTTTAATTATAAATCTGGGCCTACGGGTCTTTTCTGAGACTGATATTCCAACCAAGGACCATGGAGATAACCTAGAACCCCTACACAGATGTAGCCCATGGCAGCTCAGTCTCCAAGTGCATTCCCTAGTAAGGGGAACAGGGGCTGTCTCTGACATGAACTCAATGGCTGTCTCTTTGATCAACAACCCCTGGGGAGTGGGGCAGCCTTACCAGGGCACAGAGGAAGACAATGCAGACTGTACTGATGAGACCTGATAGGCTAGGGTTAGATGGAAGGGGAGGAGGACCTCCCCTGTGAGTGGACTTGGGGAGGGGCATGGGAGGAGAAGAGAGAAGGAGGGTGGGGTTGGGAAGGGATGAGGGAGGGGTTACTGCTGGGATACAAAGTGAATAAATTGCAATAAATAAAAAATAAATTAAAAAAGAAGAAAAAGACAGAAATGCTGATGCCACAAATTCCCAAATTTGTATGCCTATTAAGACAATGAGCCTTTTGGGATTAAGGCAAAAAAAAAAAAAAAGTGACCAATTTAGGAATGTGAGGCAAAGAAAGTCCAGCAAAGGGCATCTTTAGCTTTAAGTGGCTCTTTACATACACCTACTGCAGAGTACCCATACCACTCCTATCTAAAGCCAAGTCCCCTTTTCCATGAAAAACCAGGTCTCCAACTTTATAGCTTTCATCACATCCCAGGCTAGCTTTAATTGATCCTGTCTCCCACTCTATTGATGAAAACAGACCTTCACTATGCCCACAGGCTGAAGCAGAAGCCCTGCAGGTCACTGAAATACGACCCTGATTCGCTTGTATGAGTATTTATAATCCACACTTGAGTTTTAACTAGGCTACAAGTAAAGCAAAAGAGAATCCTGGCTAGTACTTTCCTCACACCCTATGTAAATGAGACAGCATCTGGAGAGCCTCATGTGTGTTGTGAGAAACCTTTGACACCTATCTTGAGACCATTAGCCAGGTTTCTGGCATAAAATGTTCTTGCCAAATAAATAATATCATCCATCCTTCCATGGTCTGTGTTTCCCTACAGCTGCTTTAATGTCAAGGGCATTGTGACATGGCTGTGTTGATCTATGAGAGCATTTTGAACTGGTGTATAACATCACTTTTAAAAACAGCAATATACATTCAGTTATAGTTCATATTACTGAGCTTCTTCATCACCTCCAGGTTGAAACTTACAACACAATTTCCCTGGAGCAAATTACTTGAATGTGGACTAGAAAGTTCTCACACATGTGGTCTTTAGTTGCTAAGAAAAAGGCTAGGGTCTTCCCATTTTTAGATTATTCTAGAAGCACATCACTCTTACCATAAGCAACTAAGAGAACAAAAGAAAAATCATTCCTCATTTCAGAACTGTATGTTTGTAACCCCAGACAATATGTACACAACAAAATCACATCTTGGTTAGTGCAAAGTCAAACTAAGCCTGACCACAGAGATGGTGGAAGTTACTTTCAAAACTATGCCTTCTGGAACAAGAGAAGCACAGGAATTTAGTCCCGGAGCCTAAACATATTCTCTCTTTGAGGGTGAGCACATTCCTGAGCCTGCTCAGCTAAAGAATACACCTATAAGCATACTCAGTTTAAGGTCATAGTTCAGGATGGAGCATGTATTGCAGGACACGTGGAACTCAAGGTAATGGATCACATATTTGAAAATTTAAAATGGCAGAGAAGATAATTTTAGGCACGCTCAGTTTGCGACATAAAGATGAAAGATAAGAGTGCCTCTGGGCATGGTCAGATTTTTTTCAGTAAATATATTAACTGGAATAAAGAAAAATGTACTTGAACTACAGATTAGTATGGAAGTTTAGTCTAATGGCAACTACCTTGCTTAGCAGCTAACAATGAAGGTGAGGGGCTAAGCGCAGTGAATATGCATCAGAGTGAGGGAGCAAGCCACCTGCTCCTACAGACTTAGGGAAAGGGCCTGACTTCTGTCCATGAGCCCTGCTTGAAGTCTAAAGGGGGAGGAGGAAACGAGGCTCCAAGAAGAGATGGAATAGGGTATCTTTGAAAGGAGGCTGATGGCAGGGTGGGGTGGTGGTGGGTGCTGTGAACTAGTCAAGTGCGCTTATACACAGACTTGAGCTTGATCTAAGGTCCGCCCATCCAGACTCAGAATCAGCTCTCCGGAAGGAGAGTATTTATAGGATCTATTCATTAACAGTGAACCAATCAACAAAAGCCAAAGCCTCTTGCCACTCTAGATGTCTCCAATTCTACTCTCCTGGAGAGAGCTTACATCCAAATGCAGGAAACAAAATTCACT